AGTTGTAAGCCGCCCTGAGTCCCCCCAGGGAAAAGGGCGGCATATAAATAAACTTCTCAATCTCAATCTCAATCTCAACATGCTCTGATGCTAAGGAGTTCTACTCCCCCTCCCCACCTGAAAAGAACTCTGTTCCAACTGCCAGTTTCTTTATATTAACAGTCTGATGCTAAGGAGTTAGAAATTCTACTCCCCCTCCCCACCTGAAAAGATCTCTGATCCAACTGTCAGTTGCCTCACATTCCGTTACTTCAATTCAAACTGGCAGATGTTCCACTCCTTCACTCAGGAGCGGTCTGGGGCTTCTTACATACTAAACGTTGGTACCTCACCAAAATGTCTACACCTTCCACCTATGGAAGCTGCTAGACTAAAGGCAGCGGGAGCGATATTCCCTTATGTGTTTCAATCACTGACTGCCACTGAGCCAATGGATTTAACCGAAGTGAACTGGATTTCTCCTGCATTGCCCAATTGCATAGTTTTGTCGGGAAGCACAGGTATCCAGCTAGTATTACTATATAGCATGCAAAGGGCTGGCAATACAACGGATACTGCCATTGTCAGTTTTAATATGGGAATGAGCATTCTATTTGTGAGAAAAGGATTGCTTCCTAGCACATCTTCTAGAAAAGGATGATATTGATGACCATTGCCAACCCTCAATCTCATAAGGTTGCTCTTCCAACAGTGCCCACAAATGGATCAAATGACCTTTCCCAAAGGAATGTCTGTTCACATTCTGGACATTCCTTTACAACATCACAACATAATAAACCTAATTCTATAATCAAGATGATGCAGTTGCAATTATCCATTGAAGTAAGAGAAACATGTAGACAGAATTTGATTCCTGATCTATGTCTCTTTCTTTGAAAAGGAACCAAGAAACTGGAGTGTGTATCACCCAATGGAACAGGAAGGCGGGTCATTCAGAATAACCTCAACTATCCTTTCAGCATCGTCGGCTATGTCAATCACTTCTATCATACAGATTGGAGAAGGTAGGATCATCTAAAGTTTCAAATTAAAAGACACATCTAGAAATCCACTCCATCAAGTGTGTGATATCTTTCTTATGAGGGCAATGTATTCAGAGAAGAAAAATTGCATACAAAGTGGGCTTTCCCCAGAAACCATATATAGAAAATATTTGGGTGAGCAGTTCCTTAGAATGTAGTCCTGCCAGGACAAAGAGAATTGAGGTAACCCTACTGAAGAAATTTGCAAAATTGTAGGTTAGAATTTTGGGTTTGTTCCCTTTTTTTGTGGAAGGAGAGATTTCAATTTGGTGGTAAGGGTGGGGTGATAGAAACAATTGGCTTTCTCTCCCTCATATCTCTATTTTATGATTGATGTAAAAATGACACATCTAGATATATGTGTGTATGTCTGTGTGTGTGTGTGTGTATGTATTCCAGCATAACTCTGGAACGCCTCTAGCAATTTCAACCAAACTTGGTACACGGTTGACTTACTCTCTGGAGACAAATACTGTGAGGGTAAAGCACCCATAACACCACTCAGGGTCTGTTAAGATGCAGCCTGTTGTGCCTTTAAATCTCTTCTACTATACTGCCATAAAATGGCTTCTACTGTACAGCACAGTGGAGTTGCCATGGTAACGACTTTACAGTACTCCACAAGGGGGCTCTGTCTGGTAAGGGGAAAAATTCAACATTAGAAATTATATTTGGTCTGGACATTTTCCCCCTATAAATAAATACCCAAGCAATGCCAGGTTTTTGGCTAGTATATCATAATATACTGTCTATCTGTCTGTCTATCTATCTATCTATCTATCTATCTATCTATCTATCTATCATCTATCTATCTAATCTATATATCTATATATCTATATCTATATATCTATCATCTACCTACCTACCTACCTACCTACCTACCTATCTACCTACCTATTCTATCAGGCAGGGATCCCAAACCCTGGTTCGCAGACGAGTACTAGTCTATGGCCTGTTAGGAACAGGCCACACAAGTGAGCGAAGTTTCATCCGTGCATATGTGGAATATAGGTAATGCATGAAATCATCCCCCACCCACCCCAATCATTGCCAGTCCGTGAAAAAAATGTTTTCTCCAAAACTGGTCCTGGGTATCATACAGATTGGGGGCAAGAAACCTACAAAATGTAGAGGACGAGGTGGTTGGAACAAATGACCTATGCTTTTGCTTATTGGCTCTGTGTGAAAAAGAAACCTCATAAAATTATAACCATACAGTATGTCAATTATACCCCTTCATACTTTAGATATTAGAATTCTGCTTAAGGGGCAAAGATGGAAGAAAGTGTACACTATTGCATTTATTACTGTGTCCCTCAGAATTAAGAATATCTTAACTATCTGCAAGAGATTTAGATTTGGATTTGATCCACTTGTTCTGATTTGGGCAACTGCCACATTTTTTAATGCAATTCAGGTTGGTAAAAAGAAAAAAAAACCTCCCTCAAATGAAATTGATTTCCTGGTGAGCTGATAGGATATGTAGCTTTCTTGACAATATGATTTATTCGCTTCCCCCCCTCCCCAACTTTCCTGCCCTTGGAATCTCTGATGCTGTCCTCCCCAAATATTAAACAGGTCTGACTCTGCTTAGCTTTGACACAAACCTCATGTGCCATTCAATTTCTTTCAACAGGGATGGTGTTATAGCTGTGAACAAAGATAATGGTGCTTTTACGGGCGAGTATCTTCCAGATCAGCGGACACATCTCTATGGAATAACTGTAGTTCATCCATACTGTCCAGGAGGTAAAAATTAGGAATTAACTGTAAATGTTAGGGCAGGATTTAAGGGGAGGAGGGTGAAGGGAGCAGGAGAACTTAATAGCCCCACATCTTTGCTCATGGAAATTTCTTTTCAGGAGTGCATCAGAACCATTAGCGTTATAGGAAACAACCCTGCATTTATTCATCTTGCTGATCTGCAGTGGTCTGAGCTAACATTAACAGGATTTGAAAACCATGTCTTAGTTGCCTTGGTAATAGGCATTCCCTCCCTGCAGTTTAGAAAGCTTAGAGTAATCAAAATGGCCTCCTGAACAGCTATGTGGTTGTGGGATGCTCCAATTCCTGTGATCCCTGGCTGGCCAGGATTACCTTGTAATGGAGAAAATGGTATCTATACAATTGAAAAGGGTGAGAGTCTGAATATTTTACGTCCGTCACTTAAATCTGTGAAAACAAACCTCTTCTCTTGGAACTGTTTAAACATTTGACAAATTCATAGCAAAAGGAGAACATTCATAAACACTTGTCAAAAAGCTGTCTTAGTGCTTTGAAAGTGTCCGATTATTTTATCGGGAGGCACACTTAAAACTGGAGAATTATTCTGAGTCTCTTAAGTCTCTAATTCACCTGACAGGAAAAGACAGAAGATGGATTAGAATACAAGACTGTCTTATTTTTCTTCTGTTTTTATGCCAATCCTGACCTGCTCCAAGCGGGACACAGCAGCTGAGAAAGAATACAGATAGTCCTCAGCTTACAACCACAATTGAGCCAAAAATGTATTGCTAATGAGACAGTTAAATCAATTCTACCCTCGTTTTATAACCCTTCTTGCCAGTGGTTAAATGAATATCTGCAGTTAATAAAATGGTTAAGTGAATCTGGCCTCCCAGTTGATTTTGCTTGTCAGGTCACAAAAGGTGATCACATGACCACATAAATGCCATAAATATGAACCAGTTGCCAAGCGTCCAAATTTTAAAGATTTAAACACATTTTGATCACTAAATGAATGGTTGTAAGTCAAAGACTATCTGTAGTCTTTTATCATTCATGGAGTCCCTTCTAGCCTTGATGAGATGCTGGTGCCTATAGACCCAAATTCGTTTTGCAGTCTCTATACAAGGAAGCTCGTGGGTCAAATAGGAAATGGCAAGCAAGAACTGCACTATTGGTTATTGGTCACATATTGTCTATGTGATCCATCATTGTCAGCCGGCAGCAGCCCTTATGGAATCACATTTATTTATTTTCGCAGGAAGAAAATAAGCTATTAAGTGGAGGGAAGGAGAGGAAATAAATTCCACTACGGCAGCTGGAAGAAGAGTTCCACTTCCTATCATTATTGCACACCATGCAAAAGTCTCCTCCGGCTGTATCGGGACCGTTAATATGTATTGGAGGGAATTAAGTGGTTTAACTTAGAACAAAATTATCTAGTATTTTTAAGTTATACCTCAAATCCTTACTACTGTATTTTTTTTCACAATGAAAACAATTTTATATATTGCCAAAAAGAAATGGTGCTATGACAGGGGAATATATTCTTCTGGTGATTGGAGCAACATTGTACAAGAAATATGACCATATAAATATAGCCTTACTCCATCACTATTTTACCGGGGGGTGGGGAGGGGGGAATCTTTTTAAAAAAAGGAATGGGGTGGGGGGATAAACCATCTTAACTCAAACAGGGAAGTCTAGAATGACTTCTGGAAACACTATATGAAGCAGAATGGGGGGAAAAATGAGTTTCTTTGCCTCCTTGTTAGGAGTCATGCAAAATTGCTGCAAGTATTTTAAAAAATTTAATGTTCTGCCACCTCTTGTTGTTTCTGACTTGGTGCATTACTTTTTAAGATTTATGTAAGAATATGCTGAAATGTTTCAGATTTACCTTCCACTCTTCATATTCTGGGACTGCATGAGAATATTTGCGTGTGTGTTAATATCTGACGGTAACTGTTTGCGTGTGTGTTAATATCTGACGGTAACAGCTAATGTTTTATAGGCTATTCCATGAATCCAATAAAAAGGCTGAATTTTTTTATGAGGCCACTTGAGTTTTGTATTTGACAATCTGCCAGGAATGCTTTTCCTAAGCATAAACCACTGAACTGAGGAGGTGCAGGTAAAACACTTGAGATTCATGAGAAACTGTACCACAATCTGGTTAACTAAAACACACACACACACACAATCTCCCCCTAGCTCCAAAAAGCACATAGAAACAAACTCTAGACATGTGCAATTTCTTATGAACAAATAAAAAATGAGAAAATGGCCACTGTTGTACTTGACAACCTCCCATGACAGGAGGGGTAATCCAAGCTTTATTTATGCAAAGAAAAATATTTAGTGGATGTGCTGGCAGTTGCCCTGGTTTCTTTCCAAACATGGGAATTGTATCCTTTTGGAATTGCATGCTAGATCTGGAGGAGTCCCTTAACTGCATGCCAGCAACAGGAGAGCCAAAAGCTTTTTTTTTTTTTTAAATTTTGTTCATCTCCCGACTTTGCCAAGTCTATGATCAGTTTTTGGATCCGCAATAATCGCTTGAACAGCTACGATGGCTTCATTTATCTTGGTCTGTAACTCACGGAGCTCTTCTATGTGCAGTAGTCGGAGGATCTGAGCAGCTTCATTGAGGACAGCATCTGAGGAGGAAGTAAGAAAAGGCAAACAGAGCTCAGTTCAAAACTCTTTTAAGTGGTGGACCTCAGTCAATTCATATACAACCCTTTGTAACAAGCATCCTTTTATAGATGTTTTAAACCTATTGTGTCTTAGTGTATCAATTTACTTTAGTTTTCTATCCTGTGAAATGGGATTCGTTTTGCTATTATTCAGCAGTTTTGAGATTTTGATGCTGTGAGGTCATGGGGGAACTACAAAAAAACAAGACTTGAAGATTACATAGAACACACAGAATTTCCACCCCTGCCATGGGGATATGAAATGTCCCTAATTTTAAGGTGATGACACATATATTAGGTTCCTGCAGTTTGCCTACAGCTGCCATAGGCTTGCCTTCTTTATTATTACCCAATTCTTTGGAATGCTGTTTCTAATACAGTTGTTTAACTTTGTGTTTAAAAAGGCCTTGAAAACAAATCTCTTTCGTTCAACATTTTAATTCTTCTTTAATGTTCTTTGTTTTTACTTGATTTTATCTCTACTGGCAGTACTCAGTAAAGCATAAAAGAGAAAGATAAAATTTCCTATCCAGTCACGTCCACCACTAGGGGGTGATGCACATCTCTAATTCTTGGCTGAGGGAGCCAATATGGTCTGAGAACACTTCCTATATGATTATGCCAAGGCACATGGAATGTTGTTACCTTCCCACCAAAGTGGTACCTGTTTATCTACTCACATTTGCATCCTTTCAAATTGCTAGGTGGGCAGGAGCTGGAGCAAGAACAAGAGCTCACCCCGTCATGGATCTTGAACCTGGGCGGCTCAGCTTTAATTGCTGAGCCATCGTTTCCCCATCAGAGAAGTATAATTATGATGAAAATTCATGGGGAAATGCCAGACTAAATTATGGTATATTAGTCATTAAATTAAATACATTGTTCACAGTAAATTGAAAAGCAAATGTGGTACAGTTTCTGACACAATAAATATTCCTTAATCTTGTTGGCAAATGTGCACATTTTCCTAAAAATAAAACCTATTTCCTCTGCACATAAGGAACTCATCCTACTAAAGAAGCACAATCATGAAGAAAAGAAGGGATTGTCCTGAACAAATGAAATGGTAAATGGGATCAGGTTGGAAGGCCAGAGGAAAAAGCTTTGAGAGAAAGCAAGGAGAGGATCACTTACCTCCAGTGTCAAAGCCAAGAATATGTTTATCTAAGGTGACAGGCAAACCCTTAAAGAAAGAGACGGGAAACTCATCACTGAAACAAAATGTTATGCACAAGTGGAAAACAAATCACTCTGTATAATTTGAATCTGGCACATCCTACTGATTTTGCAGTAATTATCTTCACTGAAGGTAACTTGCTATGCTTAAATTGTGTTTTTCAAAAGAACATTCCTAATTACCAAGTACCTGGATCATCCTATATGGATTTTCCTATCCACACCTACAAAAACTTTAGTTGAACAATACCAGCTACATACTGTGGGCAGGACAGCTTCAGATGTTAAGAAATTCAAAATAAAATACATAGAAATTTTTTAAAAAATTGTTCCACAAAAACGCTCTCTCATAAATAATCTTTCATCACTCAATTAAATGAATTTATAAAATTATCCATGTGGATCAATGGCCCAAATGATCTTCCTATAACCTGGTCTTTGGGTATCAAACAGATTTTTTGCTCTCAGATTGAGAAAACAAAGAAATATGGCTCATTCTGATCTCTCTACTTCAATTTTGAGAAGCTTCTCATTCTCTTTTGTGCATGTGTGGGGGTGCACCTGTGACATTCATGGTGATGCTTGTGCATGGGGCTGCGACTGCCCGCAATGTGAGGGCCCCCAGCAACAGCCCGTGAGTCTCACATGAATGGGGCAATGAGCGCCCGCAACAAGGTTTGCATGAGGGGCCACGAGCTCCCGTAATGAGGTGCACGCGAGATGTGCATGCACTGGATGGCCACTCATGCAGCCCAGTGGTGATTAGGCCACGGCCCACAGTTTGGGGACCCCTGCTCTAAAACAAGGAGACTTGAGTTTAAGCAAATACCGAGGCTTCCTTTGCAGAAGTATTTTATTCCATAGCTTTCCTATATGCTTGTGTGGACTGTTGCTCTTCTTAATCTATATTGATCCTTGTAAAAAATTTAGTAGGGGCTAGTATAAGGCAGCTATTCTTTACTTGATGAGCTACAACATATCTTGCATGCAGAAGAGACATGATTTGCTTTCTGATAGAATGAGGACAGGGAAGTGCATTTTGAAATTTCTTTTTGAAAGGATGCTTTGTTTAAACCTTTGCTGAATCAAAACATTCTTCCAAAGCTTTATACAGCCTTAAGATTTGCAGCCATCAGCATCCTGCTTAAAGAAATGAAATAAACCATAATTTCTTGCATTTAAAATATAAAATACCTCTTTTGACTGATTTGCTTTTGCAACAGCATCCTGACTTAAGCGTTCTTGAACCAAAATGCGAATTGCCTGAGAAATAGGAAAAAAGTAGATGTACTGGTGTGCTTATAAATGTGAGTGTGACATACGCAACAAATTATACAGCACTGCAATCATACATATTGCTATAGAGCATTTTATATAGGAAAACACCGTCATTTCTAACTTCAAGCAGCTTATGAACTAGAATTCAGCAGAGGGAGGGATGGAAAAAGCAGAAGTACGGTATTAAGATCAAGTAGAAACTGAGTCAGCAATTGTATATTCACATTTGATTCCAGCTCTATTTGGGGTGGGGTTTTTTTTTTTTACTGTAGTTCAACATTTAATGTTAGATAAGACTTCATATAGAAATGCACCTTGGATCTAAGTGCTATGTGTGGGTCCAGTGACATAATTCATTTATCTGGATAGCATGTTTGCTCTGCATGAGTAGGAAAGCAACATGGCAGCTGCAGTGGCTGAAAGTTGACTCAGTCTTCCATCCTTCTAAGGTCGGTACAATGAGGATTCAGATTGTTGGGGGCAATATGCTGACTCTGAAAACCACTTAAAGAGGGGTGTAAAGAGGTATATAAGTGCTATTGCTATTGCAGAACATGCATACTGGAGGGAGATAATAAAAACCCCATTGAACAAATGTTTAATAGATGTAGCTGCACCTACAGTATATATAGGAACTCTTTTAATGCTGTAGGGAAACAGGTATAAAACATCTAGTAGGGACATATTTAATGTTTCTCTACCTGCTTTTTCTCTACAGTACTTGAACAACTCCTCTATCGTGCTTGAAGAACATGCTGAGAGTTATTACTTTTGATCGTCACTGTGTCTGTTATACTGCGGGCTCACTAGCTAATACTCTTGACCATCTACCTCATTCCAAAGCAATAGATGAATCATTACAGACATATTAGTAGAGTAGGAATAGTCAACATTTTAGTATTGAAGCTGTGAAAGATACTTCAAAACCCTACAATTTGTGTCCTTCATAACAAAGATGCCATGTTGCAAAGGCCCACCATTCTTAATTGAAATCAGTGCAAAACCTATATTGAATGTAATAAGCCAAATCATTAACCAAGATTAATCAACAAGCAGGCGTAAGTTTCACCAAAGCAGGGACTGGCAAAAGCACACAACTCTAGAACTGAAATTCAAACTCTGTGTATTTACTTAGACTCTAGATGCATTATTTTTTTCCTTCTAAAGAGCTAATTGAGAGTCTTCTGAAACTGTCATTCAACTGAGTTGCTCTTATAGTTGGTAGTTTTTCTCCTATATTTGAGCTAAACTTTTTTCAGAAACTGGATTAAAAAAAGAGTAAAGAACAACACTATGAATATAGTCTTAGATACAACTAACTAGTGAAAAAATGATCATCCTGTTATTGAAACGTGCTTAGGTTAAATACAGGAAACAACTAAAAAAAGATTCTAGAAAAGGAGAAACTTCTAAAAACACATATTCTGAACAGCAGGTATTTCAGAAGGGTATTAAGTTTCAAGGCAGCATTTAGACAATAGGCTTACATGTCCACCTCAAACTTTTCATGGCTGTCAAATAAATACTAAAAGTGATGGAGAAGGGAACTTTCAGCAAATTTACACAAATCATTTTTAAAGAAGAATTTAAATGAGAACTAGTGGAATAACTCTTAATAAGCTAACCTTAAGCATAACCAAATAGTCATCGTGACGTTGAATCTGAAGAAGATTTGCCAAAGCCATCACGCCAGCTTTAAAATCAGGATTATTCACTGTGAAATAAAGGACATAAGTACAGGTTGATTTTTTTTTTAATGCACATTTCACACTAAGAAAAAATTAAGACATATCTTTACTCACCATCCAGGTTTATCAGGGGTTCTGCATTTTTGGCTGCGTTATCTGCATTTTTAGACCCTTCTGGTGTAGGGTCCTTATATTTGTCAGCTGTTAA